GGGTACTGAGTGTTGGCCCTCGCACAGATGCATGAATGACTTCTCTCTGTGTACCCTTTGGCATTTATCAGCATTTCTTTCTCCCAGAACTTGGTGCCCTTTAATTTCTGTGTAGGTGCAGTGGTGACTGGAAGGCGGCTAGCTGCTGGGTTTACTTGAGATTGAAACTGGGACTTGGGGAAGACAGTCTGTGCTGAGCCTGGTCTTTGACTCAGAGCCCAGTGAAGGCTCATCTGAGAGGCTAGTTGATATTTCAGCGCCTGGCAGCATGAGACGTCAATGACTAGACAGCGTGTCATCTTGGGCCACAGAAGTAACAACTGTGTTTAAGGTTTGGCCAGACTTCATGGTCTCCATTCTTTCCACCCTGTGTTATATGGAATGTACATGATGCTATTTAATTGCTCCAACTCCTTTCATAACGGAAAAAGACACTGGACCCGACATATTCCTGAGGTACTCATAGGTTGAAGATTGGCTCAGTAATATTCTTCCCAGACCTAATAGCTGTAACTATCTCTTGTACTGTTGCATTACTAATTTCAAACGTGATTTTGGTGGGCAGATCAGAAGGTCTCAATAGGTTGCATGAAATGAGTGACCACTGTCTCAGTGAACATTTTTCAAGTCAAAAAAATCAACAAGTTCAACGGGAATTAGCTTTTGTTTAGACAGGTCATTTTCAACCCTTTGACTCCTGAAACTATGATTGAAAGTTACTGATGTAAACTGTGTACTCGGTGAGGTGCAGCGAATTGTTAAGTATATCAGCTGTGCTGGTCACAAAAGAAACTTGTAGGGGCTGGGACAATGATACAGAGGGTAGGCCTTACATGTGGCTGATCTGAGTTCAATCCCCAGCATCCCGTATGGTTCCCTGAGTGATGACAGGAGTAATTCCTGGGTGCAGAGCCGCCAGGTGTGCCCCAGAAAGAAAAAAAAAAACCTGTATGTGTCTGAGTGGCAGTCCTGGGCAGCCACTGTTTTCATTATGGACAGGAAGCTACAGCTGAGTCAATGAAAGGAGGGGGCCCACAGGCTCTGTCTCAGAGAGAGGTCTCTGGCGTGCTATGAAATATCTCAGATATTGATCTCACGTTGAAATAATATTTTAAGTTGATTGAGTCAAGTACTATGGAAATCATGCTTCTCATGTTTGCCTTTCTGAAATGTGCATGTTCACACAGATCACAGATCATCCTGTTATTCGTCGATTGCCTCGAGCAGGCCCCAGTAACGTCTCCTTCATCCTAGCCCTGAGATTATATTCAAGGCTCTTTAGGAGAATGAGACCCATCATTGTTACTGGTATTTGGCATATTGGGTATGCCACAGGGTGTTTGCCAGACTCTGCCGTGTGAGCAGGCTACATTCGGTAGCCTGCCAGTTTGTCAAAGTAGGAATGAGATGTCATAATAAGATGGAATTTGGAGGATCTGGGTGGAGGATCTGGGTCGACTCCAATCCGAGTAGGCTTGGAGATCTTGGCCCCGGAACCCACGTGGCTTTGTCCCTCTGCCGGTACCTTCAGGTGTGCGGAGAGTGGTCTCAGCATGGTGGTGGCTGGTCCTGGAGGTCTTCGGCTGCCGGGGCCCTGGTCAGGGCGGGGAGGAAAGCTCAACCCGCTCCCCTCCAAGGGGCCCTGGCGAGGAATAGCCAGGCGCGGGGGCAGGAGACTGCACTGTTCTCCCTCCGGGAGCTGGTTTTTATAGTCTCTGAGTCTTGGCCGCTGATGGGATTACACGGCACCAGGGGGCCAGTTGGTGGGTGTGACCCCCGCCTACTGGAATTTGGAGGATCTGGGTGGAGGATGCTCGACTCCAATCCAAGTAGGCTTGGAGATCTCGGCCCTGGAACCCACGTGGCTTTGTCCCTCTGCCAGTACCTTCAGGTGTGCGGAGAGTGGTCTCAGCATGGTGGTGACTGGTCCTGGAGGTCTTCGGCTGCCGGAGCCCTGGTCAGTTAGAAACAAAAGGACAGTGACTCTGAACACTGATGCCCTGCCCTGGGTGCTCGGGGTGCAGGAGCCAGCACAGCCATTTTTTAAATGAGCGTGTGGTATCTGTCACTGTCCTGGTGAGATGGTCTGTGACTCACTCATTGTACCAGAACACGGTAGTCTAAAATGACAGCAGTAGCTGAGCCTGTCAGGAGCTGATTGTGAATGCGCAGGGATTTCTTAGTCCTTCTCTGAGAAACATGTAATCTGAAGATTAACAGAGAACAAGTTAGGGCACATTTTAGAAAAAGTAGGGGATGGAAAACAGGAAACAGAGTGCATGTGTGCGTGTGTGTGTGTGTACACGTGCACGTATGTGTACACTTTACTCTCTAATTTTTCATTCCTGTTACAAGTGTGTTTGGACATTGGGTAGGAGGAAGGTAGATGAAAAGGTACCACATGACACAGTGCTTACCTGACAAGCACTGATTTGATTTTGAGTTTAGACAACTTCTGTGTGCTTCTTTAAGTCATGGCACTGCTCCTCACAGCATGGAACACAGCAGCCACTTTTTTTTTTAATTATAAAAATGGAGGTGAGTTAGGAAGGAATAGTTGGCCCAGTTAGGAAGGAATAGTTGGCCCAGGCAAAATGGCTCCGAAGAACCTGCCTCACATGGCGGTGAGTTGTGAATGGTTTGAGGTTTTTAATGCTTCTCTGGACACCAGCCATATGAGATCATAGGAATAAGAGATGGAAGAGACCTACTGTATGAGGTCATTGCAGCCCGTCCCCTCCAGAGCTGACTGACCCCACAGCAGAGTTTCCAGAGCTCCATCCAGTGTTGCCAGTGACTCAGCTGATGGGGTTTCCACCAGCTCCCAGGGGGTACATCAAGGTAGTGGCTGAAGTGGAATGAGATTTTGTTCCTCTGTGTCCTGATGGAGATCACAGAGACCGTCTGGATGTGCAGGGGCGACAAGGTGCTCCCACCTCTTCTGCTGCTTATTCTGAAGCCCTCAGCTCTGCTCACTCCCACACCCCTCAGAGCCGCAGCAGGCCGTTGTTCTGAGACTTGGCGGCAGCAACCTTCCATAGCATTTTATGGTTTTCACAGTGTGTTCACATTGGTGATCTCATTTAAGCCTTGCCACTCCTGGGAAAGGCCGGCCTTGCTCTCCTGCCCGCTGTGTGGGCCATCTCTCTGCCTCTGTCTGATACTTGTGGAGCAGACAAAGCAGCTCAGATACAGCATGTGTGGTCAGAGGTATCCCAGGCAGTGAATGGAGGGGACCTGAATTGGCAGCAGACCTGCTTTCCCAGTACCACATGGGCACCAGCACACCTCCTGAGATAGCCCATGGGGTATCTCTTTCCCTACGAGTGACCTCCTGCTCCTGGCATTGGCATTGCTCCCAGGGCACCAATGAGACCTGCTGAGAGTAGTGATCTCGGTATGGGGCATGACCCATCACCAGAGTAGACTAAGCATCCCCAGGGCTACTCACCCTATCTGGCCAGAGCCACCGTACATCCCCTCAGTGACAGAGTCTAAAGTGAGTTGGGGGTGGCAGCTTCCTCCTTCCCTGCAGCCCAGCAAGCACCAGTGTTCTCCACACAGCTCAGCTGGGAGGAGAAGGGTCCCACCTGTGCACAAACACGCGTGAACATCCATGTACATGCACACATGGCCATGGTACTCACACTGCACACACTCACATGCTTCCAGCACACATAACACATGCAATGCAAATATGTGTGCTCACATGCACACACACTAGAGACAGAGGCAGACTGAACCAGAGGCAGCTGGAAAACAGGCCACTGAGTTTTCTGCCTGATGAGTCAGACATCACACCTCCATTTTCTTGACCCAGGCAATGCTTTGAAACTTGCCTGAAAAGAGTAACATTTGTTCACACAGTTGCTCACCCTGAAGTCAATCCTTTTTGTTTTCAGTTTGAAGATAGCAAAACTTTAAACACAGACTCAGTAAGTAGGTAAACATTTCATAATGCAGTTGATCTCAGTAGAATCAATGAAATGCAAGATCTGGTTCGGGAGACGATATGGAATATAATGTAAGCACCAGAAATGGGGACAAGGACCACCATACTGCCAACCAGCTTCAGTTTTTATGTGAAATACATCAGACATATAGACAGAAAAGGGGCTTTGAGGGCAGGAGTGATCGTACAGTGGGGAAGATGCTTGCCTGGTAGGTGGCTGACCTGGGCCCGATTCCCGACACCCCATAGGGTCCCCTAAGCCCCACCAGGAGTGATTCCTGAACACAAATCCAGGAAATAAGCCCTGAGTACTGTCGGTGTGGCCCCAAAACAACATTAATTAAAAGGGGCTTTGCTTTTCTGTTTTATATCTTGTGTTTCCATTTGAGGTCTGCAGTTGGGTACTTTGAGCACACATGATAAAGGGGAATTGTGTGGCTGGCAGGCAGCTGAGTGGTGGGCTCCATGACCCTGGTTCTGCCCTATGTCAGAGGGAATGCACACAGGCAGTAACTTTCCAAGCAGAGCAAGCTTTGGGCTGAAGAGAGCTGTCAGTCTCTCAGAGCTCAGGCCTGCTGCACCCCTGGCCCAGAGCAGGACACCGAGGGACTCATTCTAGCCTCATTCTAGCCACTCTGCTTCCTTGAATCAGCACGAGAAAGGGCAGAGCAGAGGACTCAGCTTCAGGTCAGATTCTGTGATCTTCAGAAGGTCACATCATTTCTTTTTTTTTTTTTTCTTTTTTGGGTCACACCCAGCCATGCACAGGGGTTACTCCTGGTTCATGCACTCAAGAATTACTCCTGGCCGTGCTTGGGGACCATATGGGATGCTGGGAATCGAACCCGGGTCGGCCATGTGCAAGGCAAACGCCCTACCCACTGTGCTATCACTCCAGCCCCAGTCACATCATTTCTGCCGGCTCAGACAAACCTAGAAACTAGATTATCAATGTCTAAAGTATTGTAAAAGTGATGGAAGGAAATGGAAGCTTTTGAGACTTACAGAAAAGACAGGCTTCCTGTGTCTTCTTGTGCTTCTCTCGCAGATTCTCAGAAAGCTGAAGAGTCTTGCCTTGGACGCCGAGACAGAGCTGGAGAGACAGGAAGAGGCCCTGGATGGTATCACCTCAGCCGTGGACCGCACAACTGTGACCATTGACAAGCATAATCGTCGAATGAAAAGACTGACCTAGAAGGACAAGAAAGCATGGAGGTGACCACTCAGAACAGACTCATTTCTCTGAGCATGCACGCTTCCTGAGACAAGAGTTGGGAGGTGACTCACAGCCACAGGCAGGCAGAAGGGCCCTGTGGGGACCAGGTGCACTGCAGCTTGTTCACAGTGGCAGCCTGAGGGAGCCCTGGAGCCATGCTCAGCAGCACTTCCTTAATTTTTTTTTTGTAATTTTTATTAGTGAAACACCATGAGGTACAGTTGTAGACTTACAGATTTTTGTGCTTGGGTTTCAGTTATACAATGATCGAGGACCCATCCCTCCACCAGTGCCCATTCTCCACCACCAATGATCCCAGTATCCCTTCCACCCCCCATTCCCCCCACCCCACCTCTGTGGCAGGGCATTCCCTTTTGTTCTCTCTCTCCTTTTGGGAGCAGCACTTCCTTTAGAAGTCTACAGGCCCAGCTCAGTGACCACTTACACAGCCAGCAATCCCAGTTCTTCAGTCAAACACCTGCATTTTCATCCTTTCTCCATGCTTGCCAGGGTCAAAGAACAAATTTCATCTTCAGGAAAGAAATCTTCCAGTTTCTAACTAGGGATCTTGCATGACAGGTCTTAACCTGCCTTCTCCTCAGGCTGTGTGGGTCCCTTGCATTGGTTCCCTTTTTTGTTTGGAGAATAGCCAGTTTCCTGTTTTGTAAAATTCTAACTGAAGCTCAGAGCCTAGCATGCCAGTTGTCATCCTACACATCAACACCTGAAACATTTTCTAACATAAACATAGTAAGTTAACACGCCTACTTTATGTCCTTTGCATGCAGGACCCCAGCTGGCATCCACTGCACTGCATGGTCTGACCAGTACCAAACAGGGCCCAAAAAACTGTCACTGTCGCTGTCCTCCCGAGTTGTTCATCGATTTGCTTGAGCGGGCCCAGTAACGGTGCCCATTGTGAGACTTGTTGTTACTGTGTTTGGCATATCGAATATGTCATGGAGACATGCCAGGCTTTGCCAAACAGGGCCCCCCCAAAAAAACAATAAAAGATAAGACTTTTGGAGGCCATAGCAACAGTACAGTGAGTAGGATGTTTACCTTGCATGCGGCCAACCCAAGTTCTGTCCTCAGCATCTCATAAGGTACCCTGAGCCCACTAGGAGTGATCCCTGAACACAGAGCCAGGAGCAGACCCTGAACACAGCTGGGCGTGCAAGAAACAACAATAGAAAGAATTTCGTTCTTTCGTGCCCAGTTTCTATCCAAAAGTGAGAGAAATGCTAGTTTTCAAATACTCTGAAGGTAGCTCTGGTGCTGCTTTTTACCTGGTTCCATGTCTACGTTGGCAGTCCCTGGGAACATTCTGGGGGGAGAGGTAGATCCCGCCCACCCTAGCCCCACTCCATACAGACCAGTTCCAGACCGTCCTGAGTGTCTCTGCATGGATCTGAGTGTGTTTTGCCTGCTGTCTGCCCTGTGCTAGCTCTGCTGGGATGGCACCCCTGCCCACTCCCTTCACTCACTGTCCCAGTGATTCTCCAAACCAGGTGAGTGAGTGCCATGGGGCAGAGGTGACGAGGAGAAGCTCAGCACAGCGGACCTCTTCTCACAAGATCTAGAGGTGAAGACTCTAAGATCAGGGCAAGGGCTGGCCAGTGTCCTCCAGAGGCCCTGCCAGCAGGTCCTGCCTGCTTCTTCCAGCTGCTGGTGTCCCCCTCCTCTCCCACCCCGGGCACCCCTGGCTGGTGTCTGGATGGCTCCGGTGACCATCACCCTGGTCTCTTCTCCCTTCTTCCTGTTACGAGGACACCTGTCATTGCATTCAGGACCTTCTCTAACCAGGGCGTCTCCTCATCTCAATCCTGGCCTTGATTCCATCTGGAAAACATTCTGGGGTTTAGGTGAGCATGAATTTGGAGTGACCAGGATGCTCAGCCGTGGGGAAGCAGGCCCATTACAAGACAGGGCAAGGGACATGTCTAGAAAGCCACCGTCACAAGCCCTTCCTACTTGCCTTTCTCAGATAAATTAGTAGAGTCAACGTGCTTTGTGTCACTTCAAAGTGAAGTCAGCTTATCCTTTCACAGCTCCTTATCCTCACCCACTATGACCATTTCTCACCCTTAACCTGAAGCGTAACAGAAAAAAAAAAATGCACTTGCCAAACTGCATTGGCTTCTGGACTCCAAGCACACACATCGTTCTGCTTTTCCAACTGCTAGTGTGTAAACCTCAAGTGACAAAATCCACGAAGAACCCCACATCATCATGGTCTGAATCAGGCTAGGCCGTCTCCTACCTGTTTACCTCCTAGATGGCATCCATCCTGACTTTCAGTCAGGCCCATGTTTCTCATGGAGTTTCTCCCCACCACATGTTTGGGACACAGGGACAGGGACAAACTGTTTGCTTTGTTGCTGTGTCTACAGAGAATGGTCTCTAAATCGGGTTTCCCTCACTGGCCAGTGCTTCTGTTCAGTTTCACACGATCCAGAAAGCTGACGGATGACACCCCTCACTCAGCCTGGCATTGATACCACCACTGGACTGACTGTCACCCAGAATTCTGACTCTTGTGCTAGGGATTGGGGATGAGCAGTGTCTTTTTCTCTAAAGACATGGCTGGGCTGAGCAGGAACGACTACTTCCGTATGGGAATCACTATTTTCATGAAGACAGCCTGGACGAGTGAGCAAATGAGCATGTTCTGTTTCAATAAAATCTGTAAATTAGAATTCCATATGTGTATTTCATGTCACGAATTGTTATTCGTTTTTATTTTCCTCAATGACTTGAAAACTGAGCAGGACGCTCATTTGCAGGCCCCAGGATAGGCTGGTGCCACCTGTCCAGGTCTATCCTGAGGAGAGTTACTCGGGTCCCTGGCCCCATACTCAAGCCACGTGAAGTCCAGGGCTGCAGCCCAGACAGTTTTGTCTCTCTTCAGGCCGCAGCTCTGGGAAGAACAGAGTGTGATGGGTGTTGGCTAGGGCTGATCCCACAAGTAATTTCTCTAGAGGCTAAATCAGCACACCAGAAATTTTACAGGTATAGAAAACAAAATTCCATCAGTGCTTAAGACTTCTCAGGCCTCGGGATAGCTCAGTGGCAGACTATGTGACCCTCAGCACTGCCCCAGAGCCACACAACTGCAGGCCCAAGGTCAACCATGGCCACGTGTAGGCCCCTGCCACACTGATAACAGCAATGAAAGGAAGAACCAAATCAAACCGACCTGGTCCTACTTATTTTTTCCCAAGGAAAGTATTTTATTTGGGGTGGGGGGTGGCGGGGTGGCCACACTTAGCGATGCTCAGGGGTTAGTCCTGGCTCTGCATTCAGGAATTAATTACCCGTTGGTATTCAAAGAACCATATGTGATGCCAGGGATCAAAACAGGTTGAGGGGGCTGGAGCAATAGTACAGCGGGTAGGGCGTTTGCCTTGCACACAGTCGACCCGGGTTTGATCCCGGCATCCCATATGGTCCCCTGAGCACCACCAGGAGTAATTCCTGAGTGCAAAGCCAAGAGTAACCCCTGTGCATCACCAGGTGTGACCCAAAAAGGAAAAAAAAAAGAGCAGGTTCACTGTGTACAAGACAGGCACCTTACCCTCTGTACTATCATTCTGGCCCCAAGAAAGTATTTTCAGACACCACAGAATGGGACCTGCCAGGAGTGGGGGCAGAGAACCCTGACAGTGTGGGGTCTGTCGTGGGCAGACACTAGCTACCCACAGCACAACACTCGGGCCCCCCCTGTCAGGGGCTTCCACCCTCTCACTACTGCCAGTTCACTGTTAGCCACTGGGTTTGAGCTGAACTCGAAAGACATGCAAATCACAGTGCTCACATTTGCAACTGATTCCCACATCCACGTAATTCTTCAAGCTCTTGGCTCCAATCTGGAAACTTGGCACAGCAGTAAGTTTGTAGAGAGGTAATTTTCCCTGATTCACTTTGAAAATGAAAAGCCACAGGGCTGGTCCTACAGCTTGTCTGAAGGCGAGGGTGGTCCCGCTTCCCCAAAGGACTTCTCAGTCTCGCCTCTTAGCAGCCTCAGGAGAGGCGGGCAGCAGGGCAGCCTAGGGAGGGTATCCATGCACTGACGCCAAGGCCCCCCACCAGTATGGGGTAGCCATCCTGGGGCCAGAGCAAAGGAATGGCATCTGCGCCCTACATAGGGGTCTGCACATGTGAGACCCAGTACCGGGACAATTCCTCACTGACCCTCTGACACACCCTCTCCCACAAGGCCTGAAGCAGCACCAGCTCCTGCAGGCCCTGGGATTTTCCCATCTCCTGGCAGTCTGGCCCTGTTCCACACCCTGTGGAGACAGATAAGCTGAGGAAAACCCCAGGTTTGATCCCCAGCACACCATATGGTCCCCCGAGCACTGCCAGGAGTAATTCCTCAGTGCAGAGTCTGAATATGCCCTGAGCACTGCCAGGTATGGTTCCGCCATCCCCCCCCCCCAAAAAAAAAGATCCTTGCAAACCTCCCTGCAAGCACTAGAGAAAGTTCTGCTGTGGGTAGGGTTCCAGAGATAAAGTCAGGCCCCCGGGGGTACTGTCCCTCAACTGCCCCTAAGGGCCTCTTCAAAGCTCACTTTTGCTACACAAATGGTCCCTGAGCCTTCTTGTGGGAGGGGGCCTGCTGCAGTTGGCCTCGGGCTTTTTCCCTCTGCAGATGTGCGGCCAAGGTGCCAGGCCTCTGTGCAGGCCACACATTTTCAACTCTGGCTTTGCCTGGTCTTGAGCTCCTAGGCTGGTGGATAAGGGAGCTGGCAAGAATCTCTCTGAAAGTTGATCCAACAGTTACTTCCACCCTGTCAATAGACTACACATTCTTTTTTTTTGTTTGTAGGCCACATCTGGCAATGCTGTGGGTACTCCTGGCTCTGTGCTCAGGGACCTCTGTAGTCAGTGTCAGGGGCTGGCCCAGGGCTCCCACACACAAAGCATGCACTCCAGTCCTTTGCACCCCTAGTTACATAGCACCAGAGGTGTTCTAGAAGCCAGGATTCGCCTAATGACCCGGGTCTGGTCCCAAGAGGCACTAGGGGGTGCATAAGTGACCTTGCCCACTG